GTGCACTGCTGAATGATGTATGTGCAGAGTTTGACCCTTGAAGGCTGTTTCTTCTGCTCTGAAATTGAATATATTTGTTACTTATTAATATAATTTTAGATTTTTAGATTTCATTTTGGATTTGTGAATGGGAGAAGTAGTAGATGGAAAACATACCAAACACTAATTATTCAAGGTAAAGTATTTTATTTTATATACGGTAATACTAAGGAGGCATAGGCCTATATGATGATATAATGTTTGACATTATTGATATTAAAACAGTGATTTGTTTGCCCCCCCCATTCTGTCTCTCATAGTTGAGATATACCTAGGATGAAAATTACAGGCCTCTCTCATCTTTTTAAGTGGGAGAACTTGCACAATTGGTGGCTGACTAAATACTTTTTTGCCCCACTGTATATATTAAAGATATATGGAGGCAAAGAGCTTTTAGGCTAATGGAAGGGAGGGACCTTGTTGCAAATTGTAAAGCTCAATCATCATGAGAAGCAGGTCACACTGTCAGACACTCACACTCACACACTTAGCGTCTGGGGCTTGTTTTTCACAGTTTGGGTAATGAAGGTGGAAGCTGATGTGAAATCCAGCTGTGTGCTTGCGTGTGAGAGCGCATGTAAGCGTCTCGCCAAGGTTCTAGCTTGACACAGCAAAGTTTCTTTACTGCCAGCTCTGAGTGCACTGTGGACGCTACAGATGGAGAAACAGTGAGCTTTCTGATACACAAACATACCTACACCCAAGTTCTCATCCAGAATACTTTTTTTCCTTTACAATACAAACATATTCATTTATTTGTTTTACCTCGAAAGACCATTGAGGAGGTATTCTCATTCAAAAGGATGTTGCAAACAAAAAAGCAATGGATCTACCTATGGGTAGATAATAAAACTGAGATAATACAGTGAGGTATAAAAACAAATAGGTAGAATACACCAGGGAAAAAGGCAGTTCAATTAATTCACAATCTGTTAAAACAGTATCTGAAATAAGGCCTTTGAACAGCTGTGGTGTCACAGAGTCCAAGTTCATGATTTTGGTAGATTATGTTTATAAAGTGCATCGTAAGAGAATGACATTTTTCCTATTTAGTATTGGATGGTGGAAAGTGGAACATTTCCAAGAGTATGTGAGTTCACAGTTAACATGGGAAGAACCAACTGTATTAAAGATTTATAGATGAATAAAACGCAATGCTGGCTACGACTCATTGGCAACAATGGCCTGCCGACCTTTTGGAAGATGGCAGCGGCACATACTGAAAGGATAAACAGTTAGGGCTGAGCGAGAGACAGCTCCCAATGATTTTAATCTAGAGTTGGTAGCTTTTCCATATATTAGAAACAAGCAATCCAAAACAGTTAAAACTAACAATGGTAGACCTTCGCCAA